GATCAAAGAGAGAAGAAAGTGCCAGCAAATGTGGCGTTATGAGTCAACGTTTGTGCTTGAAAAGCATGTGAAATCTAGGACACGCATCCATCATCAGATGACAAAGTTCCTGTTTTGTTGTTTGATGTTCTCCCTGTCTGGCAGTGACACAGCAATGCAGGCCACAGCCCTTGCTGCGCACCTCTGTGTTAAGGCCCCATCACAAACCTACACTGACAATCACCCACTTATCTCACTCTCTGAAGTCTTTCACGGCCGATCGTAAAATCAATATTCCAGAGGCAGGTGGAAAGATCACTTTTAAAATGAAAGTACGGAAGTCCAGTGGAAAAGACTGAAAAAAAAGGGAGTGGCTGGCAAGGCAATGACCATTTGCAGTGGCAGTGAGATAATGCCGTAACACACTGGTGACTAGTTCTGGCACAAAAATAGATTACTGTTATCATCAGGTTAGCCTAATCAGTCTATCTTCACCTCATCTGACAACATGGAGGGGTAGACATGCGGCATCCAGAGAGACAAGGTAAATACCCCCCACCTGAGAGATTTAATTGGTGGAAAGAATAGCCAGACATTTATTGTATATCCTGTCAGGGAACTGAGCAGAGTTACCTCCCGGCAGGGCGTACGCACATTAGATAACAGTGTCACCGGGAAGCCCTGTACATGCAGCTTTGATGTTTGCAAAAGTTAATGAGAGAAAATAATTACTCATGACAAACGTTTCTCGCGAATAAGAGCTTAGCATGACCTACATCTAATTAAACATGCCTAATGAAAGCCCAGGCAGTTATTAATCAACTCTAAACTTAAAAAAAAAAAAAAATCTCATTTATAATTCACTTAATTGTTACATTTAAACCCAGAGGTGATCAGCACATAAATAAATAAGCGAAACATGCAGACACAGCATCAAACAATTGCTTGACAGTCCTTATAGTCCAAAGCAAACATCCTATTTCCCCTCCACCAATTGAAAGTCATTGCGTCTTTTAATCAAGGCATGCTGGGGAGGGGGTTCTCCAGGCCTGACAAGACCAATGCATTCCAGGTGTTGTTGTACAAACAATTTTAATGTTTGGACAAGATCCATTTTCATGACCCCCCCCCCACACCTCCCCACCTCCTCCCCCTTTCTCCTCTGTAAACTTCCCATTTAAAAAACATGCACAGGGCAAGTGCAACCTACATCAGTACAGCTTTGATTTCATTATAAGCCCATGCAATGCATCACCTTTACAATAATCATTATTATTAGTATAAAAAAA